TCTTTCCAGTTTCTGAAATTGGACCAGACAATAATCTTCTTTGAAGATACAATTCAAAAAGCCAAAAGCACACCTTCTAACACACTGTGCTTTCAGGTACTCTGGATCTAGTTCAACTGGCGGATGAGCTGATTGATGCGTTCACCCTGATAGCCAGGTGAGTCTATCTCCTTGAGGAAGCCCACTTGGTTCTTGGTGGCATGACAGGCCACCGAAAGGTGAAAAGGGCACAAGAAACATGAGATATCTTGGAAATACTTCCCTGGGAAGGCAATTTCATGAATGAGGTCTTCTAAACAAATTACGCCAAACATCCCTAGATGCCCTTCAATCACTGTGTTGTTGGTTAGAGGAATGGTCTTATTCTTGACCTTGGCTTGCCCATGTTTCAAGATGAGTTCCTGGACAGATTTCAGATTTGGAAATCCCCAGGTCACATAAGGTTCCACTATTCGCAGTGTTTTTAGGCTTTGAGGAGTGACTTTGACAAAAACACCACTGAAAATTTTCTTCAGACACAGTCTTGCGATGGTTGTCTGCACCACTGAACTCACCCCATCAGTCCTTTTGATGCACACAACAAAGGCCAATGAGTGTTTATCGGGCATTTTCAAGGCATGAGGTTTCACTTCAAGTCATCTGAAACATACCATGTCATGCTTCTGCCACCAGACTGCCACAAATCATTTAAGAACGATTCCAGTCGCTTAAATCTGGGCCCTTTCTCTTTCCTCTGCTCTCTTCTTGCCAAATGTGCTTGCTTTGCTTGGGTGGCCTTGAGGGCTTGATAAGCTTTTCTCTTTTTCAGGAGATTTTATGGAACCAAAGGGATCTTTTTCCTTTGCTCAGGCTCTGCCATCTTCGCAGTGCTGGTACTGCGCATACTATTTTATCTTTTATTTCAAATACACTGTTATAAAATAAAGGCATTCACTATGGCCTCACAGTGCAGTGGTTAAGCACTAAGCCTAGAAAACTGGATTCCATATGGCTAACCATGGTTTGAATCTCAGCAGCATGAAAAACTCACCAGGCACGTTTGATGCATGCCCCAAATCTCAACAGGATGAAGAAATAAAGGAGAAGGGACTGTGATGTGACCATGCCCCATGGAGGGTTATCTGTTTCTTTCTGGCTAGCACAGATGCCCTTTGGCAATAAGAAATATAAATGCATAAATAAGTAAAAGGATTGAAATAATAGAGTGTTACTAGTGAATACAGGCAGGAAGTTCACTCAGGAAGCTGTTAGAAAATTGAGTCCAGGTCTATAGCATAAAAGGTGGGGGTGGGTGGGGGGGAGTAAGCCTGGGGAACTAGATAGCAAGTAGATTCCATTAAAAATGGAGCCAGTTTATGGACCAGCAGATGGTATAATGTTTATGTCATTGGATTCCCACATAGTTGACCATGGTTCAAATTCTGGACCCAGTGGCTTAAAACTCGTGCCGGGCATGTGTGCATGCATGCCCAAGATCCTGAGAAAAGAATGGAAGAAAAGAGATTGTGATGTGTCTATTCCCACTGGGAGGTTATTTCTCACTTTCTGTCTCTCAGACGAGTGCACGCATCCTATAGTAAAAATACAAAACAAAAATCTCTCTCTCTCAAGAAAAAGAAGAAGAAGAGGAAGAAGAAGAAATAGAACAATTTCAATTGTGAGAGATAAAGGGAAGTTATAAGTAAAAAGAAAAGTCTCAGGTTTATGACATGAGCAACCAGACGATTTGCAGGGACATTTCATGAATTAAAGAGGATTGGAGAAACACAAGTTAAGTTTCATTTTGGAAATGCTGAGTTTGAAGTATCTGGGAAACACCAAATAAGGGAAAATGGTAGAAGAATGGTATAGTTGCAAGAAGAGGATTTTGTGAGCTGAGGAAAAGCAACAGACTGTTCATCTTCAAGGGATGACAGGCACTCTTGTCCTTCACAAAGTCCTTAATCTGTGGCATTAAAACAATTGGACAACTCAAAAGTTAGTTCTGCAAAGGCAGGAATTGGACTTTCCATTCTTTCTGCTTTAAGGAGTTTAGCACTGGATGGTGGTAGGGGGCAGGTTAGCTAATGATGTTCAAAAATGCAGAAGGAGTGCTAAAATAAATAAACAAGAGGCACCTAGGGAATGAGAAAGGCATTTTAGGCACAGCAAGTGAAATGAAGAAAAGTAGAAAGAGAAAAAAAGGAAGGAAAGAACAATTACCCCTCTTTATTTCCAGGCTCCAGAATCTCTCAAGCCAGGGGACAAAGTTCTGTGCACAACTGGCCCGACGAAATTCAGGACCTCTTTTCTGCATGGAAGCTAACAAATTAGGAGAGGTGAGGGAGACCTTAAAGAAGGTATAGAGAAAAAACGAGAAAGAAAGAAAAGACTTGGCCTAGTTTTAGAAATGAAAGATTGGTGACTGTTTTTAAACTTGGGAACAGTTTTATTTCAGAGTAAGAGGAGCAGATAATGCATAGCCTGTTGGGCCAAGATGAGAAAGTTATTCTTTGAACTATAGGTAAGATAAGGAGGATTTTTCAGTAGGGAGAATATGATCAGAAACTACATTTTTTTTGGAAAGGTTTTTTTCGCTATAGGGCTCGTGCGCTCACCAGACAGACAGAGAGAGACAGAGAGACAGGAAGCGAGAAATCACCCCCCAGGGGAGATGGTCACGCCACAATCCCTTCTCCTCCATTCTCCTCTCGGGATCTTGGGCATGCACGCACACGCGCCCGGCGTGAGTTTTAAGCCACTGGGTCTGGGACATGAACCGCGGTCGACTACATGGGAGTCCAGCAACATAGCCATTACGCTAACTGCTGGTTCCCCAGAAACTACATTTTGAGGCCCAGCCATCGTGGCACATGCAGTAGGCTGCCACTGCATGATACTAGAGCCATATGGAAAGAATCCAGGTTTGAATCCTAGGTCATTCTGAACATAACAGACATGCTTGTGGGTTCACTCACGAACTTAGTTGACTGGAAGGCTGAGTGAGGGAATCACGGCATGGAGGCTCTGTCAGAGTTTCTCTCTCTCACTCTCTCTCCAGAAATAAACTTTAAAGGAAAAGAGAAAAAAATATGTTTTGAAAGCCTAGTTCTGGTTCGGTAAGGACATGGTTGCAGAATATACATGACTCAGAGAAGGCTAGGGAGTTCAAGAAAAGTTGACTAACTTGATATATACTTTAGAGTACATGGGGTATATAAATAAGTCCATGATAGATAGTTTTCAAATAAATAGGCACTGAGAATTGAGGAAAAAGTAGCAGTGAGGGTGGGTGTGTGGTTGGAGATAATTTATAAATTGTATTCTTGAGTAATGGTAAATACTAATGTTCTTGAGTAGACAGTGAATACTATGCTACTATAATATATATAGGGGAAATGTAAAAACAAAGAAAAAACAAAAACAAAAACAAAACAAAACAAAACAAAAACAACTCATTTAGAGATACTAAGTATGAGTTGCCTGTAAGAGGCAATTTGAGATCAAAGACATGAACAGTACTGTGATTGGAACATCAGGGTTGAAGTATGTATGGCAGATATCATCACAGGAACATAGGTAAAGATGAAGATATAAGAGAGAGATTAAAGATGGCAAATGGCAGTATGTTTATATACTGATGAGAATGATTCAAAAATGAGAGAGAGAGGAAGGGACAGAGAGAGGGAGAGGAAGATAAACTGAATGTGCAGGACATAGGACTATAAAAAAACTGGTCCTGAGGTGTGACCACATAAGTATAGAACATGCCTCAGAATTTTTCCAGCTAAGGTGTGTGGGACATTTTCTCAGACATATTTATTAATCACTGGTTGAAGGATTCTCCCAGGAGAGGCAAAAGAGGGCATTAATTCCACAGCATTTGTGACTTGCCCTGCACAAGGACTAATCCAATTCTAGTGGTCAGAGAAAGCCATCAGGCAAAGATTCTTAAGTTCTTGCAGTTAGAAGCCATTGGGTTGGCCTATATGTGAATGGTGAGTCCCATAGTGTACCGAGAACCTGCCTGATCTTCTATGCTAGTATTCCTCTATATTTCCTACACAGAATCTAAGTCTCAACATAGAGATGAAATATAAAACAGTGAAAATTCTGATACTAAATAGGTTTCAAGGAACAATAGTTTTTAGTCATAAAACTTGTATTTCCCATAGAGATACCTGAACAAAAAATAAAAGGACTTCAATTACTATTAACACTTCTGGGCTTTAATATCCTAATCTATAGAATGTGGCAGGTGAGTAGAAAAGATAGGGCTTCTTAAAAGCTTTTGTTTTCAGTTATTTGAATTAATTTGTAGGGAATTCCCCTTTGTCCTCTTTAGGTTAACTGACACATTTTAATAGGTATTTAGTAACTGCCAAGCCAACCAATTCATTACCTAATAATATATCTTTTAAAAATATCATTCTTCACTTTTAAAAATATCTTCTTTTCACTAGGCATTGATTAAAGCATCCCTAGTGAAAATCACTACAGCAATCCTCTAAGGAAGGTCAGGTATTCCCATTTTATAGGTGAAGATTATAGTTTTGAGAGGTGACATGATTTACTAAAACTCAGATCTTTCTGGCGTTCCCAAACAGTGAGATGGTGATGACTACCTTTGCAAGAAAAGGGAAGGAGTTAGTTATAGCTGCCTTTTCACTCTCAGCAAATACAGTGTTTGCTGCTGATAACCGAAGGGCAGTATTTAGACTATGGAAAACATTTCTCCAAATTCAGCCCATCGTTTCAAGTTCACCTTTCTCTTTTGATTCATGAGCAACACTTTAGAGAGTGCATAAAGTTTTGGGATGATACCAATTAATTTGGTTTTAGCCTATAAAACCTTTGCGGTTATTAACTTCCTTTCAGGCTGAAGCCTATTATGATAACCACAATAAAGATGGCGGCAGCGGCTTCACATGGCAACGCAATTAACCAACAAGCAGAACAATACAACTAGTTCCGGCCTGTTAGACTGACATCACTTCCGCTACGCAAAAACGGCTCGCGCCGGCTTGGACAGTGGATTGGATTTACCGAAGCCGGTAGACCGACCGTGGGGAGTAGTCGTCTTGTGGAGGGAATCGGAAAGAATGTCGGACCTAGCGATATGGAAAGAGAAGGTGGAAAATCTGCGGCTGTTGTTGCAGTTGTAACTGAGTCTCGATTTACGCAGCGATACAGGGAATATCTCCAGAAGCTGAAACTCCTGGACAGACAGCATCGTGTGGTAAAGATGCCAGATGGCACAGTGGCGCTGCCGCTGCTGGGAGAGACTCTCCCGGAGCAGCACCTGCAGGAACTGAGGAATCGCGTGGCCCCAGGCAGCACATGTATGCTGACGCATCTCCTGGATCCTGTTCCTTCAAAGAAGGCCCAGGGTTGTTCACCTGCCCAAAAACTGAGGCTTGAGGTGAGTCGCTGGGTAGAGAACCGAGGAGTAACATGGTCAGCGGAGTTGGAGACCGATTTGCCCCGATCTTGGCAACGGCACGGTAACCTTCTGTTGCTGAGTGAAGACTGTTTCCAAGCGAAACAATGGAAAACTCTAGAACCAGAACTCTGGGAGACCGTTGCCTCCGCGCTTGGCGTCCAGCGTTTGGCAAAACGAGGGCGGGTATCACCAGATGGCACTCGATCTCCAGTAGTGACTCTACTGCTGGGAGACCATGGCTGGGTACAGCATGTGGATAATGGTATCCGGTATGAATTTGACGTGACCAAGTGTATGTTCTCCTTCGGAAACATAACTGAGAAGCTGCGCGTGGCATCACAGCCATGTGCTGGAGAAGTGCTGGTGGATCTCTATGCAGGGATTGGATATTTTACATTGCCTTTCCTAATTCATGCTGGTGCTGCCTTCGTCCATGCATGCGAGTGGAATCCCCACGCCGTGGCTGCTCTGAGAAATAATCTTGAGATCAATAGAGTAGCAGATCGCTGCCAAATACACTTTGGGGATAACAGGAAACTAAAGCTGTCAAACATTGCAGATAGAGTGAACCTGGGACTCATTCCCAGCTCTGAAGAAGGCTGGCCCATTGCCTGCCAAGTGCTACGACAGGATTCTGGGGGCATTTTGCATATCCACCACAACGTGGAATCTTTCCCAGGAAAGAATCTCCAGCTTCTTGGAAGCAGCAAAATGGACAAAGAGCATAGACCTTTTCCTCAGCAAATTACCTCTAACCTCTGCAAAAGTGGAGCTACCAGAGACTCCAGCAGAAAAATGCTGTCACCAGCCATCAAGTCAGAGTGGCAAAAGTGGGCAGAATATGCAGCAACTCGAATTGCCACTTTTCTTCAGGAAGTGCATGGGAAACAGTGGAAGACACAAATCCTGTGCATCCAACCAGTAAAATCCTATGCTCCTCATGTTGATCACATAGTCCTGGATCTGGAATGCCGCCCCTGTCCTCTAGTTGGCTAGAGCAGATGGATCTGGGGACATGAGGGATCCATGTGTGTGCGACCCTTAATGTATCAGTTCCGACCAGGTCATCCTTCTGTCTCCTGGTGATCTATTTTAGTATTTTGTGGCCTCACAGACAGGCATTAGACCAGTCCAAATAACTTCATTTGTCTTCCATCGATCACACTGAGAATTACCTATCTGGGAGAAGCAGCATGGCTCATTGAAATAAGGCTCTTCTATGCAATCATGAGTTCTGAATTCTGTCCTATCCTGATTTTGGATATATGGTTTCAGATGTTCTTTTGGCCTTTAATTTTTCTTTGCAAGACAAAGGTTTCTTTGAACTGTCTCACTTGGTTGTTACCTACTAAGCAGTTATACAAAAGGCATTTTTTTTTTTAGAGTGCTGTTTACAAAATCACTCCAGCTACAACATGGAAAATTGACTAGAGGAGAGCTAAGATGAAAATAGGAAGACCAATGAGGAGGCTGTGGTTGTCCAGGTGTGAGGTGACAGTGGCTTGGACTAGAATGATGGCAGAGGGAGGTGAATGTATTCAAGAAATAAATCCAAACCAAGGCATTAACATGATGCTGTTTTGTTATCATGACTTAAGTGAGGGAGGGAAGACAACAAAAATTAGTGTATTAACCCCACTCCTTGACTTCAGCATTCCTAAATGAGCATGGGAGGATGTCTTATATGTTAGATCTATTGTGATAAAAAGAGTTAAGAATCACTGTTCTAAATCATGTGGAGTGTACATCTCTAGCCATAAGTTTGTATAACAGCTACCAATTGCTAGCTATTTTTAAAATCTTAGATTTGTGTAGGCCTCAAACACCCTCTACATCTTCCTTGTCAAGCAACTTAAGGGATGACATAAGCTATAGGGAATGTGAGATATTCTGCACAGTTTTTCAAGCTTCACCTTACTTATGGCTGTCTGCCATCTCTGTGGATTGTCATTGGGATGCCTAATTGTTGAGAATCACACAGGGCTTTGGTTTCGTGCATTTTAAAACCATCTAGGTTTGTTTGCTTGGTGAAAGAAACAGAAAAGTGTGGCTTTATCAGGATTACGATTATATCTAATAGCTGGCAAATATTAAGTAACTACTACATAGGCTTCAAGAAATGTAAAGAGCCACTAGATAAAGCTTGTCACTCTGAGTTCACAACCTAACAGCAGAAATAACAAAAGGGACACAACTGAAATACATTAAGATATGAGTCATGTGAGTGATAGCATGTTGTAGGAGAGCACAGGTGGGAAATGAGGTGATGTTTGATTTGTCTCTTAAAAATTGGGTAAGGGTTGGGGTAGAAACAGGTGCTAGTTGAAAAGAGTAACAGGTAGGAAAGTTTGAATGCTCAGAATCTGGGGTGTTGTCTTTAGATCGGTTTGTAAGAGAGGAAGCAGTGAGAGATGTGAAGATGGGTTGTTGAGGATTAAAAAGCACAGTGTCCTGTACACAGAAGCCCCCCCCCCCAAGGAAAGGTAAGCTACCACTTTAA